TGACATCCGGCGTCCCTTGTACCTCACACCTGATGCTGCCGTGGGAGTATGGCATCATTGATAAGGTGCGGGCGACCACTCTGGTAGTGATTGCACTGTGACGTGCTGACCATGCGTAGGCGTCCCATGTACCTCACAACTGATGCTGCCGTGGAGTATGGCATCATTGATAAGGTATGTGACTCATGAGACACGCTGTGATATGAATGTGTTGCTGATGGCACATACCTCACACCTGATGCTGCCGTGGAATATGGCATCATTGATAAGGTTTGTCCGACACCTTATGAATGTGTTGCTGACCATTCTTTTGTTGTTGCTTAATTCTCATATTGCTTTGTTTTAGATGCTGCTCCGATTGGTTCAAGAGGCTAACACATGGTGTGCACGTCTTGAGCATGCAATGTTGGAGTGCATTTTAAGAATTTCACATTGTGCTGTGCCCTGTTGCTCGTGTTGCTGGGTGGCTGGAATTGCAGGTTCTTGACACGGACGCCAAGAACGATAGTGTTGTCGATTCCCTTCGCAAACGACAGCTTATCTAGGCTGTGATGGTAGTCCTGGCAATGCTATTACTAACAATAAGGGTACCTGCTGGGTTCATGTACTGGGTGGTAATAGGCAGTTATGTATTATGGAGTCACTGATATCCCGAAGGTACTGGAATTCCAACAGGAGCTTTGCAGGAGTGCACTGGACTGGCACCAGGAAATGTGCTAGACGTGAAATGGGTAATATTGTGCAGTAACAATAAAGAGAAGCTAGATGTCTAGTTCTGGGAAGTTAGAATCAGAAATAATGCTGAGAAGACGGACAATTACATGCAGTCACAGCACTATGCCTTTTTCATTGCTGCATAAACTTTAGCTGCAGCCAGGGCACTAAACATGTTCCTACCGTCTAGGAGGAAAACAGAGAAGCTTTAAACACATCTACAAACCGATTTGATCATACGCGTCGTGTCAACCATCAACTGCTTTATTTCTGCTTCACGGAACCTAGGTGACTCAGTGCTGGAAAAGCTGATCACAAAGCTCCTTGTGGCTGCTGTAAATCACATCACGCCGCATCTTCATTGTTGCTGTGAGGAGGCCATTATCCACCTGAAAGAACAACTCAGCACGGCTTGTCAGTAAGAGTACACACACCCGAGTCCACATTTTCATGGTTTGTAAATAGGCAGGGCTTACTGTGAATGGTTCATCGAGGAGTGCAAATGGACCGATCCGTTCATGCGGCAAACAACCTGCCTCTGTTAAACTGAAAGGAGAAATAAGGGGGGGGGGGGGGGGAGGGAGGGAGGACCAATCAGAGTATTCAAAAGTTAGTGACCAGACTAAAAATGTGTGACAGTTTGTTTCGAATACAACCTGCAATGCTGACACTGCAAAACGTCTTGTTTGACTAGACTAGCGTACCAGCGGGTGAGCTCTTGTCGAACGACAGTCCTCTGTTCCTTTTCTGTCACCTCGCCTCCCTCCATCCCCTTCTCCGCTCTCATGCTTGCCACTGCTACCTCCATCTCCTCCTCATTCACAACAATCAGCGCTCCAAGCTTTCTCTCGTCCTGAAAACATAAGACAAGCAAGTAACAGAGTCTCAACATATACATACAGATATAGCTGGTTAAAGAAATGGCATTCAATGCATACAGACTGACATTCTTTGCTTCTAACCTGTTACACACGTTGCACACACTCGGTACCTGGCCGACGAGCATAATCTGGCGGATGACAGGGCTGCTAAGTGCAGCCTCCTCGACAAAAGCAGGCTCCACATTTTCACCTGTTCGAAAAAAAGGACAAGAATGTACACATTGAAAAAAAAAAATCCAGCCACACACATCAGGTCAAAGTTGCGAGTACGTGTGTGCTTGTCAGCTGTCCAGTCACACGCACCACTGGCAAGAACAATGGTATCCTTGGCTCGGCCGTCAAGGACCAGAAGCCCTCCCGAGTTTCGAGCAGCGCCAACTGGAGTCAAAGGAGAGATCCATCCAAGGTCGCCCGTCGAGAACCAACCATCCTTGTCAATTGCCATTGCTGTGGCCAACCGGGTTCTGTTGAACACCACAAGCCCATGCACATAAGTTTGATTACACTGAAAATGTGCAAGAATCCTGGCATCTAAACACAAATTTGAACTCACCTTGTAGTAGCCCTTCATCACTTGAGGGCCACGTGCCTTGACCAACCCGCGTTGGCCTGCAGGGAGACCAGCTCCCGTCTCCAGGTCTACAATCTTTATCTCTGTTCCAGGAACGGGACTCCCAATGCTTCCCAATGCCTGTTTCAAAGACCGAAAAGAAAAACCAAATCAAGTCCCATCGTCTGCTGTAGCAAGCACGTGACAATTGAGAAACTTCAGGTCGACCGTGCCTACATTGTTGGAACTTTGCCTGACTGTCAGCACAGGAGAGGTCTCTGTGAGCCCATATCCATTGAGCAGAGTGATCCCAATTTGCTGAAAACAAAGAGAAGCGGCATCAGATAGAATGTGACAAAATTCAGGAGCTAACAAATTATTTTCAGAATGACCTAGTCAGTTCACAAAACTCAGGCATTCCATACCTCAAAGAATTTGTCCACGTGCGACGGCAAGCTGCCTCCACCACTCACAGCTGCCTGTGTGCACATACAAAGGGCAGAATTCGAGGCAACAATGTAAACAGCGTCTATCAACATGAACGTCTGAAAACAGTGTAAGCCTTGCTAGGTCATCTAAAATGCCATACCATACCTTTTTTATGCCGATAGCAGCTTGACCTTGGTGTACACAAGCTTCTCCGCCAGCAGGTGAAGAGGCAGCAGCACCAGCGCTAAAAGTCCAGCTCCCAAACATTCTGCCACAGCCTTCATAAACATGAGCCCCTGAACGTTTTCACGTGAGCGGAGCACAGCCATTCCTGTCCAGATGCGCAGAGCTTCCTTGTGAAGGGAGCTGACTTTTATCAAGAACTTGGCAACTGCTGCCCTGGCGGTTGATGCTGCAGCAAGCTTCTTCTGGACTCCACTGCAAGCCCATCCCAAAACAGAAAATGCGTTTTGGGAATCTCACAAGTGGAAAGAATTCAATGTAGCTGGATGATGATGATTCAACATATAACTTACTGTGGCTGCATTACCTGTATAGAACCTCAAAGACAAGTGGAACAGCCACAAGTAGTCCGGAGGGTGTTTGATCAAGTCTTCCTGCAATGCAATTTGAACAAGTTGATTCAGATGGCCAAACACACTGGGATGACTTGATTGAAATGCGATCATGCACTGGGCAAACCTTGAATGACTTGACATTGCTGTAGATGATTTGGACCCCACGGCTCAGTAGAAAGTACTCGCATGAGCGCTCGTACATGTGCCATGGGGGTAGCAGGCTCAACATGACATCACCAGCGTCAGGCGTTAGGGCACATTCAAAGTTTTTGACCTGCGCAACATGAGATGACGGAAAGGGACGTGCGAATGCATGCAAGCACGAACAAGATGGGACGATACTGGCGAATATGGCGAATAGTCATGGATAGTGGAGGAGGAAGAACGGGAAGACGAAATGGGGGCCCCGAGAGAGGTAGCCCGAGATAGCTGGAGGCAGAGCAGGATGGAACTGCAGGAACTGGGGGGGAGAGGGGAGCTTGACCTGATGCATCAGGTTGCTGTGCGTGAGCATCACGCCCTTGGGATTCCCGGTCGTCCCAGAAGTGTACACCAATGTTGCCACGTTATCAGGTCTGGACGCTTGACGAGGCGCTGAGCGCGACAGAGCATCATGAGTGAGCCTGCTTGCACTCCCAGCCGCCGAAACTTCTTCAAACGAGTACAGAGAAAACCATTTGGAGCACGTGCTGCTGGTCTTCCAGTCAGTACTTCGTTCCTGGCCTTTACCGGCTGGAGGCCAAAGGACAACTGCAAACTTGACAGTGTCTTTCACCGAAGAAGCTTCGAGAAAACGGCGCAATGTGCTCAAGAACCTGGACGTTGTCCACGATGACAGCGGTACTGAAAGAAAGCATTTACAAAAAACGCGGTCATTCATACTGAAATGCGGGAACCTTACTGAGATGAAACGAACCCCAAAAGTCATGACGAACCTGTCTGAGTTTTCCAAAATGTGAAATAATTCCGCTCCTGAGGACTTCGCTCCTCGAACAGCATCACGAGCACCAATGTCCATCACGCCTGCTCGCACCCTCCAAACTCATGATCAGAATACGCTCGACCTTCAAAGTACTTATACGGCACTCCAGACCAAAACAGGCATCATCCCATAAAAATTGGCTTGCCTTGATCGGCGATAAGCCATCGGTGCGAGTTCTCAGCAAACAGCGAGGCGCACTCTCCTTGCTTCAGCCCATAGACGCGCAGACCTTCACCGAAATCATAAATTGCACTCTCGAGCTCTGAAAACGTCAAGCCTCGTTTTTGTCCGTGATGCGGATCGAAAAGAGCAATCTTGTCGCCATACTGCTCCGCGAGAGTTGGCCAGATGTCAGGAAGGACCTTCCACCTCCTCGTGGTTGACTCGCTCTCATCAGGTGTCGGGAACACAACGGGTGGGAAGGAACCTTCAAGACTACTCGGGACCTGCAGCCGGCAGCACTAGCGATGAGAAATCGACTAACCATAACGCGTGATTTCCATGCAATTGATAGCATTAGCCTAATCTATTACCTCGAGAACGGAGTTGACTTTTAGAGAAGTGAAATTACGTCGAACATGCCCTCTGCCGCCGCTTTGCGAGCACTTCGGATACCTGTCTCCGAAAAAACCAAGTCGTTTACTGTTTTGTACTATCGAAAGTTTCCTCAACGACAGACTTGCCAAGCCCTGGTGAGCAGTGGTGCGCAAAAGCGCGGCCATGGCTTCAAAGACGAAGACACGCGAGCACGGGCTTTACTGGCAACAACCTAGATGGATGCACCAGCTTAGTGTTCTAGACGTCGGCTCAACCACTTTTGTTCACTCGCGGAGGAGAAATAGTTTCTCTAAGCTAAGAGCCCGAATTCGTCGGAGCACATCAAGACTGACGTATGGAATAGCTCGGGTCAGCTAGAGGAGAAATAGTTTCTCTAAGCTAAGAGCCCGAATTCGTCGGAGCACATCAAGACTGACGTATGGAATAGCTCGGGTCAGCAAGAGGAGAAATAGTTTCTCTAAGCTAAGAGCCCGAATTCGTCGGAGCACATCAAGACTGACGTATGGAATAGCTCGGGTCAGCAAGGCGAGAATCTGAAAACACTCCCATCTTTGGTGTCTCTGGCAAGTCTGTCCATTCCGGCGCTGGAGCGGCACGTGAGCTCCGACTCGCTCCAGGCCAGCCAGGCATCGGACATGGCTCTCATGAGCCACAAGCACCGCCCGCCAATGAAATTCCTAGACGGACCTCCGACCAAACTGAATTCGGCGTGGCTGGCGCTATGGCCTCACGAAGGACAAGCCATTCGCCTTTTTCTCCGCCTTCTTTGCCCTCCCACCCAGCCAAAGTCCCCGAAACCACGGTAAACCGTTCTGGTCTGGATGCAAAGCAGGTGGATGTGATGGAGAACCCATCAAGGCAACACGTGAGAGGGGCAATAGCCAATCTGTGCACTTCGCGTGTGTTGCCCGAACTTGCAGTTGGGCAGGGCGAGAATCAACGAGGGCTACGAAATGGCTCGCCATTCGACGACCGTGGCAAAGTAGCTCCCCATTCGAGAATTGCGGCTTGCGTGGGGACCACTGCGCTCATGCAGCCTCTCGCGTCTCGCCTTGCGGGCAGACCGCATGTCGCAACCGTATTGCTGCTGGAGAAGCAATTTTGGCAGCGTGGGTGGTGTGCCGCACAAATTGTATACGCGCTTGAGGGTTGTACATTTGATAGGTCTGCTAGATTTGAGATTGGTTTCAAATCTCGGCTTATGCCTGATACATCCTATGCATATGAAAATCATGAAAGCACAAATTGTGCTCCACTAGCCCTAGCACATCAAATCCCGTCCTAATCCGATCAGCGACGGAACCAGTTGACAAAGGATGTGGCTAAAGGTGCACCACCACTTGTTGCCACAGGAGATGAGGAGGGTGATGGAACAGAAGAAAAGGCCTTGGCAGTTGACTGTACCTTTTGCCACATTTCCTCTCCCACCACACAATGTGCGGATTGTGAAAATGTAAACGCCTGGAACCCATCATTCTCAGCACTCTTCGTTTGCACAATCCTTTGTATCGAGGAGCTAACTTTTGCAGAAAAGGACTGCAGCAGCTTCACCTGGCCTGGTGAGCAGCTTTGGTAGCTGGAACGGAGGCAACGAAGCAGGGGGTCCGTGGTACCCTTGGGCCTGGGTGCGAGGGTCAGACTGATGGCTTTGTAATCGGACAAGGAGTTGACAATGAGCATTGGAGAGCGTGAGAATTGCAGGTTGTACTCCGGGAAGAAACACTTCCATGTGTCGTTGGTCTTCTTCATGGCTGCATATAGAGTGAGGATGGGGACCATGGGGAAAAAGAGCAAGGAGAGAGGAAACAGAAAGACAGGGAGGAAACGCAAAGCAAGATGTTAGATAGAGCAAGTGGAGGAGGTCCTTGCAAAGGTACTGTGCAAGCCGGAAAGAGTCAATTTCATTGCATCTGCATTGAACATCAATCCGCTGGGGACTACTCCAGCTAACGAGAAGGCTGTGCTTGCATCACTTGAGTGAGAGAGTTCCTTTCGCCCATTGTTCAATGCTCAGTGCTCAGTGCTCATTGCTCGTTGCTCATTGGACAGTGGCGACTCACCTCGCTTGCACTCGGCGTTGACCCCAATACGCCCCATGTCATGCACGCCTGCCATCTGCTGCACCTTCTGCCTCATGCTGTACTGCCCGTCCTTATCCGCCACATCTGAAGGGAGGGATCAGGCAGGGGAGATCATGGTAGCTAAGGGGGAGGTGGGGAATGTGATTCGGCTACAAAAGGCTCATTGTGCCTCATGCTCCACTGCTTGTCCTGATCCGCCTTGGTTTAGCATCAGCTTAAGGGAGGGGGGAGGGAAGGGACGGATGTGGCATCAGCTACACCTTCTGCCTCACGCTGCAGTGCTGGCCCTTATCCGCCACATTAGGAATCAGGCAGGGGAGGGAGTGGTATTGACTGATGGAGAGCAGCAGCACCAGCAGCAGCAGCAGCAGCAGCAGCAGCAGTGACATACTCTAGTTAAACCTACAATAGATGAGGCCATTCCAGAGAGACGTACCTGGGAAGTAGCCTCCGTCGATGAAGCATTTGGTGGTGACGTTGTAGTTGGCCACCCACCTCTAGAACGAATGCCCGTTCGAATTGTCTCCCCAGCAAGGCCTACCCCGGATGAAGCCTGCCCCAGGTGATGCAGGCAGGTGAGGCCTACCTGGGAAGTAGCCTCCGTCCATGAAGCATTTGGTGGTGACGTTGTAGTTGGCCATCCACCTCGAGATCTGATCGCATTCTATCAATGCTCACGTGGAAACCTACCCCAAGAGAAGCCTACGCAAAGTGAAGAAGGCCTGCAAAGCACCCTCCATCACAAGTGAGGCCTACTCTGACCTACTCTGGCCTACTCTGGCCTACTCTGACCTACTCTGGCCTACTCTGGCCTACTCTGGCCTACTCTGGCCTACCTGGGAAGTAGCCTCCATCCATGAAGCACTTGGTGGTGACGTTATAATTGGCCAGCCACCTCGAGATTTGATCGCATTTGATTGACGTTGCGACGCCGCCTGCACTGCAGCCGCCCACCAGCATCTGCTTGCCCACATTCAGCCCGTGCCGAGCTAGCAGATCTGCAGGGTTGGGGATGAGAGGCGGAGGGGTTGAGAGGGGGAGGGGAGGTTGGTAAAGGAAGCGGGCTTCGTCGGAAAAACGCGAGCTAAGTGAACTTAGTTTTATTTACATTGCCCTCTCTCATACTGTGTGCTTCGCTGAATTTTATTCTAAAAAGTGGGCAAGAACTTGCTATATACACCGTGTTTCGTTGTGACGTTTCCCGAGAATCCAGAAAATGATTCACTACACACCTTGCAGCGTGCCCTGCAGGTTCCAGTGCCCGCGGAAGTAGAGCGCGCGCCCCGTCTCCGCGTTTGGCGGAAGCTTGCCGTAGCCGCCGGTGAAGGAGCTGCCGTCGCAGTACTTGACGAGCACCAGGTTCCAGTTGTAGAACGCGGGATTCACGGCGCTGTCCGTGCTGCCCACGCCGCCGTACTTCACGTCCTGTTGCGGGGAGAGGAGTGGCGGGGAAAGGGGAATGGAGCGAGGGAAAAGGACCGAGGGGACAGGAAAGAGAGTTTGTTGGGAGGTGTGGGTGCGGTGAGAAGGAGCAGCGCAGCTTGCCGTAGACGCTAGTGAAGGAGCTGCCGTCGCAGTACTTGACGAGCACCAGGTTCCAGTTGTAGAACGCGGGATTCACGGCGCTGTCCGTGCTGCCCACGCCGCCGTACTTCACGTCCTGTTGCGGGGACAGGGAGAGACGGGGGGCCGGGGAGAGGAGAGGCGGGGAGGGCGGAAAGGAGTGGGGAAAAGGACCGAAGGGACGGGAAAGAGGGTTTGTTGGGAGGTGTTGGATGTGGTGAGAAGGAGCAGCGCAGCTTGCCGTAGCCGCCGGTGAAGGAGCTGATGCAATGAGAATGACAATTCTGGCGCTTTTCGGCCCCCTCTCTGTAGAGAGGATGTTTTTGGGACATCCCAAAAACACCCTCTCTACATTTCGCCTCCCTCTCTGTCGTGCCGCTGCTGGCTCACGTCGCTGTCGGCGCCGCTCACCCCGCCGTACGGTAAGGGTGTCTCATGCATTTTCTCGAAAGCTGCCTTAAGCCAGCGCAATGCGAGGTGCTGAGCCCCGGAATAACGTACGCTAGCCAGCTCTGACTCCACCGTATCGCCTCTAAAACTCCCTTGATACGGGCACGACGACAGTTGCGGAGGTTGAGAGTTCTACGTCTGCTGGTTGGCGGTGATTCGCAGCTGACTTGAAAATCATCTCGATGACGGTGAGAGGTGCTGAGGATGGGAATAGTACGTACGCTGGTCGGCGGCCATTTCTTAGAGCTCCCCAGGGGTCCCTTGGCTCGATTCGCGCAAGACTTGGCGTTGAAACACCACCCGCCAGCCTGGCAATGCACAAGAAACGCGGATGACACGAGAATGAAATGGGTGTCATCAACCGGCGCTACAAAAACTACAATAATGGCAAGAACAACCAAAGAGGCATCGTTGCATTGCTTTGTCTACTCCGGAAAAACATCTCTACTGCATCAATAAGAGTGTTTTTTTCCGGCCCTAAATCTACACTTGAGAATACGGCACCGCTTACTTCGAGAATCATGATCCAGTTGTTGGCGCCGCTTCCGAACCCGCGTCGCAGGTAGTACCCAGCAGGACTACCGTCCAAGCACCTTGCACGAGAGTTCTTCTTCGACAGGAGATACAGCCGTGCGACGTGCAGGTTGTCGCCTGCGGCGACGCCGCTGCTCGCCTGCGTCGCAGCGCCGTCAATCGTCCCTCGCAGCTGTGCCACGCGAGGCATGCTCGGCGGGCCGCCAGGTAAAACGCCGACTCCAGCGTCACGGCCGCCGACGCCGCCGGAAGAAGAGAAATCAGTGTGCGGTCCGAAAGACTCAGCGTCAACGCCGCTGTCTATCGACTCGAAAGGGCTCAGGTCTGCGATCTCTAGCGTAGCCGCTTCGCTACTTGCGACAGTGTGCGACGGGGCCAGGATGACGAGCAGGAGGAGGAGGATGGAGATAAATGGGGGGAATGCGTGAAGCCGCATTCGGAGGAGGGGCGATCGGTCCATGTCTAAATGTGTAGGCACGCGTTCATTCACTCGAAGAAGAGACGAACGAAGGCCGTTATTCTTCTCGGCGTAAAATGCTAGCTATGGTGTCAAAGGGCGGCGGATGTGATGAGAAAGGATTGTGATGAGAAAGGATTTGCTTTTGAACAGGGTAAAGCTAGTGAGCCAAGTGAAATTTGCTTCTCCCCTGCTGTTTGAACTCAGAAGTTAAACCCTGTTACCTAAATTATTTCGGTGTTCTCGCGTTCGCTTACTCTTGTGCTTTGGGTCACGTGCTTGCCTTGCTGTCGATTGTCCCAACCGCGCAGGAGAAATGCCTGCACTGTCACATTGGAGCGAGCCGCGACACGGAAATATCAAAGCGGCGCGCGCATTTTGAAATTGCGCCAACGCGAAAGTGCTGAGGCTAGGAAGGCTGTTCGCGTGCTGAGTGATTCTAGCGAAATCAGAGTTACCATGGGTTGACGAAACAGCTGTTGTGCACCCTGACTGACACCATTGTGGTCGCATATCCGCGACACGGTTCGGTTCAGGCTGCTCCGCAATGAAAAGCTGCACCTTGGAAACAGTAAAAACCACCATATACTTCTGTACACCGAGCCTTTTATAGCAAGCAGTTACGAAATGCCAATTTCCACCACTGCCTTCTGTTATCGGAACCATCCGTAAGCTCACAATACTGTTCTCAATTCCGAGAGTTATGTCCTAAAATAACCACATAGCGCTTCGTACGCGCACCTTTCCGAGCCTATTCCTACGCGCTGATCCGGGGACCAGTTAGCATCAAACGCTAAGCCGTGTAGGTTTCCTTGTGAGACCACTAGGCGACAGACGCTGTCAGTAACGCCAGGCTTCTTCAGAGTCGTGGAAGTCGGTCAAGCGCATTGCGTGCTGGCGGGGAACACGGACATTTCTCGTAGGAGTCTTGTGCTCATTGTTAAATTTGCCTGGCCTGGTCGTAGCAGCTCGTTATTGAGGCGAAGGGGGGAATTCTGAGGCGGCTTAGGACGCGCTAATCGCAGCAGGCGGTGACTCACTTTTTGCTGACAAATATGGTAACGAAACTTGCGCTCAGTCTGTTTCTTGTTTAGGAAGCTGTAACTGTTGTACATTTGGAATGTCGAATTGGTGATTTGAAATGGCGTAACTGGACTGTCACAGCGAGTGCCCCTCGGTTAGGGTTTCCTTGCTGTTTGTACTCGTCTATCTGCTAGAGCAACCGCTTTTAATTGGAGCACACCATCTCGGTTAGGGTTCCCTCCCGCGTTATCAGCTGTCCCCTGCATTCACCCAACCAATCCTCCTGGACGCGCACCGTTTCCAATGCTCTCACTATCTTTCTACTAATCTGTGCGACCTCTCCATAGCCTTCTTTCACACACTCCGTGCTTAATCATTCTTACAGACTATTGTTTTTTCTCTCTCTCTCTCTCTCTCTCTCTCTCTCTCTCTCTCTCTCTCTCTCTCTCTCTCTCTCTCTCTCTCGCTCTCTCTCTCTCCATGCCCGACATTCCCTGTCCCTATTGCTGTGCCCAAATCGTACCACCGTCCTCCCCCTCTCCCGTAACCAATCAGGATGGACACACCATTCTTCTGCTGCAAACAGCGCCACAGAAATCATCATGCACTTATATCGAGTACCCCACCACAGCAGAAGCCATTGATGGTATTTCCCTTCCCTCGCTCTCATTCGTCTCCTGTATTATTCCATACTTGGGAATATGAATGCATGCATTTAGTCTTTTCCACTCTTACCCAAAGAACGCACCCCTCACCTGTATTTCAAGCCCCAACCCTGAAACCTTACACTTTCTAAGCCAAAGAACGCACTCATCACCTGTACTTTAAGCCCCAACCCCGAAACCTTAAACTTGCTCAAACTCTGAAACCCTCTTGAGGATCCCCAAACGACAATACCTATCGCAAGTTCAGGGTTCCAAGAGCGGAGGATTGAGTGCCATGCGGAAATAAACATGGCACAAAATGTCGTTTCTGTTTTTCTTTATCCATGCTCGTCCCTCTGCTCGCCATGCATGACTCACAGGGCTGTGTGCTCTCTTTGAGCGGCGGCTCAAGGAGATGAACCCTGGAGTGAAGAACATCACATACGACATCTCAGAGCTGTACCAGTTCATGGAGTCTCTGCCCGACCTCACCGCCCTCGTGTGAGTTCCTTTGCTGTACCTCCACCTGTTATTATGCTTGCTCTGTTTGACCGGCACCCCAAGGAGATGAGCCCCCAAGGATATGAAGAACATCACATGCAGCGTCTCAGAGCTGTACCAGTTGATGGAATCTCTGTGTGACCTCACCGCCGCCCTCGTGTAAGTCCCTTGGCAACACATATGCTTGCTTGGTTCAAGCAACGGCTCAAGTGAGATATGCCCCCGACTCCCGAGGGAGTGAAGAACATCACATATGGCATCTCGGAGCTGTACTTGTACATGGAGTCGCTGCGTCACCTCACGGCCTTCGTGTAACTTCGTCAGCAGAAGTTCACCTTTTACCTCTCGTCCTGCGCTTGCCTTTTCCCCTATCCCTGCCCCTGTCTCTTCCCCCCACCACTATCCCTTGCCCTTGTTAGTGCCACTGCCTTACCGTACCCCGCCTTCCGTTTCCTCTCAAACCCCCTTTCGTACCCCTTACCATTGTGGCTCTCATTCTTGCCAAACACTGTCACACACCACTTAGTATGTGACATTCAGTCGTTGTTTCACAATCAAAATGTGCACTGTCTGTCTCTTGTTGCTTGTGCATGCAGACTGGATGAGTCTATCTGTGCATACGTCCCATTTGACCGAAAACGGCTCAAAGAGCTTGCATACCAGCGGCTAAGCAAGCTAGCTGGTGTACAATGATTATTGCAACATGCCACATCATGTAATCTGCATCATATGACCTCCCTATGTTTTGAGGAGCATGGCCATCTACGTATAGTCTAGCTCAAGGAAACAAAAGGTTATGCGGGTAATTCATTCCGCATGTAGGATTAGGGATGTGTCCTCGTGGCTGCTTATTTCATCCTAAATTGAGCCATTTACGGTATTCCAGCTCCAAACCAAGCACTGTGCCACAGGCGATCAAATGGTGTAGGATATGAAGCCATCGAAATGCTTGCAATAGACCCAGGACACCAGGTGAGACTGCCTCACACAGTCTTCATCAACAAGGCTTGTGTATGGGTACCAGAGTCTTTGTCCACATTTACAGGGATCAAGTTTTTGAAGCTTCCACGTTTCACTTTATATAGACATCGGTAAGACAGTGTACTTCATAATTCACCGAACGGAACAAAACGACTAGCGAGCAAGCAAAATGAAATGCTTGGCGGTTCGCGGTTCCGCAACCTCTCCCGCTCATTCCCTTTGAGACGCGACGCGCGTGGGCGACACGTAATCTACATCAACGAGAGCCAAAATGTCGAATGTTGAAAATCCAATTTCGACCTCCCTCCTCCACACCACACCATACACATGCCACGAATTCACTCCTTGGCCTGGCCATGGTCCAGGTGAAGAGCAGTCTCTTCTAGTGCAGGTTCAGCATTCCTCTAGATGTGTGTATCGTGTAGTCCTAACGGCTTACCTGGGCGTGCGCGTGGCGAATGCGATTCGACACCCTACAGAAAATCGACTGCGCTGAGGGCACCTTGCTGAATAGTGTCTGGAGATTCTTGGCTTTGTCGTTTGATCGTGGCAAAGCAGCGAGCAACTTGTTAAAGGATCTGGACCACCCGAGCTTTAAGAACGAAGTAGCGATCCAGAGCGCATTGTCTATCCGTTGGAAAAAGTAAGACGCGGAGAGATAGGTCATCTTGAAGGATCACTGTTTTCATTCAGACCTCAGTGATTCTGGCCCGCAGTTTTATCAGTACGAGCCTAATACTTTTCCAACTAGACCCTCTAGCGCGATCGAACAAACAGCAATACGCCTAGCTTGTATGACTTATCCCGCCAGGAGCTAGATCATAGCGTTCGTCTCAGAGAATATGGCACGGAGTCACCATCGCATTGGACAAGGCCTTCAGGCCTCGCTTATAAGCCTCACCCTCGTACTCGCGCTTGTCGCGCTCTCTGCAGCCCTCGCTTCCGCGTCCGTGAATCCCGCGCGCCCACGCAACCTGCTTGCCTCCGCACTAGCAGACTTCAAATCGCGTGGCGACTTGAATGGGAACAGCAACGGCGGCTCGAGTCCCAAGCCAGGTGCCAGTGCGTCGTCCGTTAATCCCGGCGGCCGCGTCGCGCGGCTTCACATGCTGTCGAAGGAGCAGACGCGAGGTCGATGCCTGGACGGGAGGTAAGAGCGGAGGAATGTTGCTAGAACGAACGGCTCTTTATTCATTCACATAAGTTCATTTTGCCGCATTGCGTGGCTGCACATGCTGTTGAAGGAGCATAGGTGAGTTCGATGCCCGAATGGGTGATGAGAGTAGAAAAGTGTTCCTTAAACGTACTTTCCTCTTTGAACATTCTCGTATAATCACTCCGAAAGCATCTCGGAAATAACATTGATCTGTTCACCCGTGTTTTCGCAGCATGCCGGGTTACTATCTTCGCGAGGGTTATGGCACGGGCGCGAACAAGTGGATCCTTTTTATGGAGGTGAGCGCGAACCGAAGTGCAACAACTCTGATTCAGGCAACAAGTGCATTCAGTGAATTCGGTTTCGCAAAGCTCTAAACCCTTTAGTTTTCCTGGTCCTCAACCTTTGCGGCCGTATTCTTCATAGGAAAAGCACTCCATGGATATCATTCTTCCAGCTGCATCCGTCCCTAATACTTTTTTCTCCAAATCCCGCTTTCTGTTTTCTACCCCTAGGGCGGTGGGTGGTGCTTCAATCCGAAGCAATGCGCCAACCGCGCAAAGACGGACCTTGGGAGCTCCGTCAACTGGCCGTCCGTCAGCGTGAGTATGGAATCTTGCACCGTTCATTTGGATCAACAATGTCGTATGTCAATGCGAGTTCCAGCCATACTCGGTACTGAGGAGTCGCAGAAAATACCGCAGACCGAGAAGCCCGTGTCCCTCTCCCCATTTCCTTGCTCCCGTTCCGCTTCTCCCTCCGCTTCTCCCTCCGCTTCTCCCTTTCTTTCCCTCCCTGCAGAACGTGCACTTCGGCGGAGTCGCAAGCCCCGACGCGGGGATTAACCCCCAGTTCTACAACTGGAATGTGGTGCTTGTCAAGTACTGCGACGGCAGCTCCTTCACGGGCGGTTCGGGCAAGAAGAACAAGACGGAGGAGACCGGCAAGACGCTCTACTATAGGGGACACTGGAACTTAAACGGCGTGCTTCAAGGTACGTTTTTTTTTAAGCTGGACTATCAGAACCTAAATCACAGGGAGCTGACCTATCTCGGTCCAAAGAATAATTTCCGCTGAAACCCTTCCCTCTTGACTTGGTTCTCCCCCTTCGGCCCTCCGCGCTCCCCGTTTCCCCCGGTCTCAGATCTGCTGGACACTCAAAATCTGAACCACGGGGAGGAGGTGCTGGTGGGGGGCTGCAGCGCGGGCGCGGTGGCCGTGTCGATCAAGTGCGACCAGATCGCCACGTGGCTCAAGGATTACGGCATCAAGACCAAGTGCTTTATGGATGGAGGTTTCTTCCCAGGTAGGCCGCTTTTGGGGTTGGCTTGGCTGTATCGGGGACCGTTTCCCAGGGGCATAAATTTCCGGTTTTACAAGGGTTGGAATGGTAATGCTCTGTGTGCCAGCTCTCCATAGTGGCGCTGCTTACCTTCTCTCCCCGTTAATTTGTTTTTTCTTTTGTTTTCGATTTTCGCATCTCCCCTTTTTCGCTGTGCCCGGCAGACGTGGTGGATGTGAACGGCGAGCGGTCGCTGCGGGAGAAGGTGCAGCGGCTGGCAACACTCCCCGTTAATTTGTTTTTTCTTTTGTTTTCGATTTTCGCATCTCCCCTTTTTCGCTGTGCCCGACAGACGTGGTGGATGTGAACGGCGAGCGGTCGCTGCGGGAGAAGGTGCAGCGGCTGGCAACACTGCATGACATCGACCGGATTGGGATCAACGGCGACTGCAAGGATGGTGAGTTCAGAAAATTCACCATGGCATGGATGATTGTCTGTTATGGTGGTGAGTGTTCAATTTTTCCTCCCCTTCCTCACACTCTCACTGTCAATGTTACTGACTTTTCCTTATCGCTTTTCTTCTCGCCTTGAAGCGAGTCCGTCCTCTCCATTCCCCTATCTCCAAATCACTTAACCCTCAGTTTTTTCTCGGCCTCTCTCCTCCCCCTCCTCTCAGCCATGCAACCAAGTGATTCCACGTGGAAGTGTTTCTTCCCCGAATACAATCTCAAGTTCGTCAAATCGCCAATGTTCGTCGTGAACTCGCTGGTGGACTATAAGGCCGTCGCGATCGCCATGTCGCCAAAGGCGAAGGGGAAAGCCAACCCGCTTGTGCGCTGCCTCGGTTCCCACTTAAAGAAGTGCACCCCGCAGCAAATAAGCCAGCTACAGTACTTTTCCAGCAACATTAAAAACTCGTTAAACAGCGTGACGAAAAACCGGCAAGCAGCGGGGGTTCCGTTTGACACGTTTACATTCACTGAATCTACCCACTGTGTGGTGGGAGACGAAATGTGGCAGAAGCTTCAGGATGACGTTTCAGGAGGCTCGGGAGGAGGGAACGGTGTGGCTGGTGCTGCGTCAACTGGTCTCAGTCCGACGAATAAAAAGCCTAATTTGGCGGGATCCTTCAATAGCTGGTATCATTAATCGCGAAGGCCGGAGATGGCAACGGGAGAGGAGAGGGAAGGGAGTTCATCTGAGGAGGAGGAGGGGAATAAGGTGGGGAATAAGGTCTGGGGGTTGGGGACTAACCCTGTTTTCGTTACGACTGGGGAGACTAAGACTGCTGCGGTGCTGGAGTACACCAGGGTGCTGCGATCACGCTGCAACAAGGCGAGACAGCGAGAACTGCAGGCCACAATCACCGAAGCTCCGACACGTAGGGAACCGGGTGTACAAGAAGTGAGTGAAGAGGGCGTACGCAGATACATACGCACGGGGGAAAGCAAGACGAAAGGAGAAAGCGTGCAGTGGAGAGGAGAAGTGGCGAACCGACGATACTGGTTACGGGGGGGGACATGCAGATGTCGTTACACACGAGCTGCAGCACACGGCCCCGCACACAAACCATACACAACTGACTGACACTGGGGGGGCTGTTTGGGGTAGATTTCTCTGTCTGTTACTAGCTTCGCGTATTAGGGGATTCAGTCATTGATGTAATAGTGCATATATATCATTTTGAACAGAAGTACAACAAAAGCGGGAAATAGGGTCAAAATCCCATTGGACATTTGCCACCACCCACGTTTCTGTTTGCTGGTACCTTCGCTGCGTCCGCTCCTTCCCCCTCCTTCCCCTTCACCTCACCTCCCTCTCTCATTCTCCCTCTAGACGTGGCCAAAGGACCAAATGCCGGCACAAGTTTTCCTGCTGCCCCAAGCCCAAATGCCGGGCAGTTGACATAAATTGATTCGTACTGCCCAGCTTTGATTGTATATGACTCGTGCCACACGCCGATGTCAGGGCCGTCCCTCAACAACCGAGTCATTCGCTTCCATGCTGCTTGTAAGGAGGGAGACAGTATGGTGGACACGGGAAAACGGGGAGATTATTGGAGAGGGGTACCTAGGCAGTCTAGACAAGGTATTAAGATGCAGGGAAGACGTGAGTAAGGAGATTGGGGAGGAGGGAGTGGAAGCAGAAAACGGGCAGATGAAAGGATATAAAGGAATACTTGGACAAACCTGTCTCAAAATCCCCACAACCAAGCTTCTATACGCGCACCCAGCCCAAGCCTCCAAACGACATACCTGAGCCAAGCCTCGCGACATACCTACCCTTGCACACGGTTCTGGTCGTTGGCATAAGTCACACCCATGCCTAGGGCACGTACCAGCCCATAACCCCCCCCAAGGCTCATACCTGAGCCGTGCACGAGGTTCTGGTCGTTGGCATAAGGGACAAGACAAGTTGATCGTATGAGCGCTAGTACATGACAGCGATTGTCTGCGAGCCACCCAGGTCCCAGACATGTTCCTGACACCGGTTGATGCCCCTGGCACACACCTGAGCCGTGCACGAGGTTCTGGTCGTTGGCATAAGACACCAGGTCATCGTGCGAGCGCCAGTACATGACAGCCAATGCACTCTTACCTCCCATGCACCAGGCACACACCTGACCCGTGCACGAGGTTCTGGTCATTGGCATACGAAACAAGGTCATCGTACGAGCGCCAGTACATGACATCCAAATCTCGCGTACCAGCCATGCTCCAGCCATACACCCTCCCCGTGCCCCAGGCAAGATCTCATAAGCTTAGCCGGCCCATTCCCAAGGCTCACACCTGAGCCATGCACGAGGTTCTGGTCGTTGGCATACGAGACAAGGTGGTCGTATGAGCGCCAGTACATGACAGCCAATGTCTGCGAGCCACGTGTCGTGTCCATCCCCACATAGTAGTCGCCCCCCAGGTACCCGAACTTTTCGCTCTCCTGCTCCAGCTCCCTGTTTAGTGACGGGTGCAGGGGTGAGTGGGAGCAGGGCAAGAGGCGGTTGCAGGGGCAGGCACAGGCGTGCAAGCGGCTACAGTATGACTTGTATCATGAGGAACACAAATGCCTTGCCAGAATGTCTTTTCAGCACACATGCCTTTTCACTATGCGCGCATGTCTTGCAACACAAACGCACGGCTCACCTCACAGCTTGCCCGAAGACCTCCCCGACCGAAGCAAAGGACGGGCCCAGTGGGAAGGGATTGTTAGCTCTCGCCCCGATCAGAAACAGACAAAAGTCGCCATCCATCTTGCCAGCCATCCGGCCCTGGAATATGTCAATCCCGTTCACAGGTAACAAGTTTCCGGAAGCTGCCGCCTCGTGCCGCCCACTGACTCCGTTCTCCTTGCCATTCGCCATTGCCTTATCTGCCTCAAGTAGCACCTCCCCCAGAAGCCCCTCCCTCTCAGCTCCAACGTCCCCCTTAATCCCCTCCGCCTTCCCCTCCGCCTTCCCCTCCCCCTTCCCCTCCGCCCTCCCCTCCCTCTTCTCCCCCGTCTCCCCCTCTCTTCCAGATGCACCCCCCCCGGAACCGCCCTTCCTGGCGTGGCTCCAGCGCCAGCTGTGCAGCGCAGTGCGCAGAATGGGCGGCAGGAGGGCGACGGCCGTGAGGGCGAGGGCGAGGGGGCGGGGGAGGACAAGCGCCGTGAGCATGCCCGCTCCCAAGAGCACCTGAACAGGAGGATTGCGGGGAGGGAGGGGGAGAAGGAGGGATGGAGGGATGGCTGAGCAGGCAATTAGGAAGAGGCAGGCACCACGTTTGGTACCTGCAGCGCCGTCAGTAGTGAGACGTCTCATAACGTGCATAGTACCTGCATTGGGGCGAGCGCCTTCAGTAGCGCCAACGGATCGCTGCTCTCCATTCGCCTGATGAGCCTCTTTCCTGGAACCTTCGCCGCGTTCCCATCTCCGTGCTCCGTCGCGCTGGTCGGGTTACTACGAACAGCTGCTTCTGCCGGGTTCGCGAACGTAAGTTCGTCCGCTTGGAAGGGGATTTTGGCGGCGGAGTGAGCGGCATTGTTGGCGGCGCCTGTCATCGCGTGCGAAAAGGACTTGTTGTCGCGGAGATCGCAGGAGTCGTTAGTCGAAGCCACGATGATGCGGCTCACGCTTGCCGGCGATAGTCGCCGATTCACCCAGAGGTTCGCGAAAGGCCTGCGAAGAGGCTGTAACGCGTCCAAAACAGTTGTCGAGAGTCCAACTGATTGTGCGACCTTTCGCGGCTGTGCGACTTGAAGCGACGGTGCGACCCTATGCAGCTGTGCGACGGGCAACGTGTTCCACGGCAAGCGACGAATCGTGCGAATCGCACAGGAGACGGCGACAGATCGCATGACCAAGAAACAATCCTGAAACCTTGTCAACTATCGCGATTTTCAGCAGCCGTGCCGCAAGCAAAACGAGCTGGAAAAGGGCGAACTCGCGCGATCGTGGCTATTCAACGCTGAGTGAATAGCAGTTGGAGCGCGACATATTTATACTGCATTTAGTAAGGCAGGAGGAGCGATGGAACAAGCTTGCGTGTGTGATTTGTTGTGGCGGCGACAGCGAGGGGCGACGCGACGCAACGCGAGGTGACTGGGCGAGATAGGGGGTGGGGGAGGGTGACGTCAGGAGGAAAGGGGAACGAAGCAGGTGGGGCTACGTCACACTGACACTCGTTCAGGAAGAATCTCGTTGTAACTAGAACTTCATGTGAATGTGACTTTGTACCTTAGAGAGTTTGCACTAGCAATGATACATGATTGGGCAAAGTATGGTCACAGTCGCCTCAAGCCACTCAGGTTTTCAAGTCCAGGGATTAAGGTCTTGATACTTCAAGTTTGAGACACAACTCCTACCTAATCACGTACAGAAAGGCAACCCATCTCTAGGGATCTAAAATTTCCACGCTACAGTTGGCACGTTTTCTTTAATTTCCCACAGAGTGCCATCAGGTTCTTCGCATGCCCCACTATAGCATAATTCCCGAGAAACAATCCGGGCAAGATTGGCACGGATATCTGCTTCAGACAATGACCCTTGACTAATATGTCAAATGTAATTATATGCTTGTAGGCTACAGTAAGTAGCACAATAGGGAGTATAGTTGGTAGGGTTGCATATCTGTACTCTCTCACTTTCTAGTTTCGAACATTCCGTTGCATTCCTATTCTAAGATGGTATCACGAGTAGGCTAGATCCTCATTCGTTTTTAGCTAGCCTCCGCGCCCTACACGCTCTACGCGCCCTCCGTGCTCTCGCGCCCTCCGCGCCCTCCGCGCCCTCCTCGCGCCTAGCCCGCGCCCTCCCGCGCTGTCCAGCCTGTCGCGTTAGACCTCTGCGCGCCCTCCCCCACCGTTGCACGCCCTCCAAAATCGTCGTGCGCCCTCCTTAGACCGCCGCGCGCCCTCCCCCCCACCGTCGCGCGCCCTCCTCAACCGGCGCGCGCCCTCCTCCGTCAACGCTTCCCGCACACCTGCGTGCGCTTCCCGCACACCAGCGTGCGCTTACCCCACACCTGCGTGCACCTACTGCACACCTGCGTGCGCTTACCGCACACCTGCGTGCACTTATCGCATCACTCTTTGTGCGCTCCCGCACACCTGCGTGCACTTCCCGCACACCTGCGTGCACTTACCGCACACCTGCGTGCACTTACCGCACACCTGCGTGCGCTTACCGCACACCTGCGTACACTTACCGCATCACTCTGTGCGCTTACTGCATCTCACTCCCCTTCACCTGTGCACCGGTCCCACGCCATTCCTACTGCACTTGGCTCCCGGCTCAGCGACTGGCAGCCGCTCTTCCCTCCGGTAGCGCCACCTAGGTTCGGTTAGAGCCCCGCCCCACGAGTATTTTCTCGCCCACTGTCTCTCGTCGGTTTCCCCGCTGGCGTCCCTAGCCCTCCGTAGTTTTCCTCCTCGTTCTTAGCTCCGCCTCCGCCGTGCTCCAGTCGCCTCTAGCGTGGGCTCCGCTATGGAGGCCCGTCGTCTCCGTTTCGATGCTGAGGGATGCCCGATCGAGTTCTGTACCTGGCAGCGCTAGACCACACGTTTCCTCACCAGCCAGCGTCACGTTGGCGCTACTCTGTGGGCCCACGCGTCGGGTGCTCTCGCGGCACCCCCGTCCCCCGCTGCCCTGCCGACCGCCCCGGAGCCGACTCCTACGGCCCAGGCGGACTACGACCGTCGGGTCCTGGCTCGGGACGTGTGGCTCTCTCGTGACGCGGCCGCCGCCCTCACGCTATCGGAGCTTCTCCCCCCGACTGAGGCCGCTCCCTTTGACCAGGTGGAGACAGCCAAGGGGGTTTGGGATGCTATTGTGGCTCGCTATTCCACCCCCTCCTCCGCCTCCCTCAGTCGCCTCCTCATGCCGTTCGTGTTTCCCGACCTAGGCTCGTTTGCGACTGTTTCTGACCTAGTGACTCACCTCCGCTCGCTTGACGCCGGTTTTCGTTCGGCCTGTACCGACGCACAACTCCTTGTTGCTCCCCCCCCCCCCCCCATGTGGCTTACTGTGCACTGGTTAGTCACCCGCCTCCCTGACCGCCTTGCCACTGCCCGCGACGCGCTTCTTCAGAAGCACCCCACTGAACTCACTATAGACCTCCTTCAGACTGCTCTCGGGACCATCGAGAACAGCCTCCTCACCGTTGCCTCCGCCACTGATGCGGTGCCCCCCCGTCTCTTTGCGGGGTGTGCCGCCCCTCAGCTTCCCACTTTCACCGCTACCCACGCTTCTGCTGCTGTGTCGGTCTCTGAGGACACCGCTGCCATTTCTGCCTTAGACTGGCAGAAACGGGGCAAGAGTGGCAAGAAGGGCGGGAAGGGGGGAGGTGGGGGCGGAGGAGGTGGCGGTGGAGGGGGCGGTGGAGGTGGGAGCGGCGGTGGTGGTGGAGGCGGCGGCGGCGGCGGTGGTGCACCAGGGGGAGGGGGCCTTGGAGGAGGCGCAGGATAGACAGGTCCACCCACAGGTGGTGGCCCGACCGGTGGGGGTGCTGCCCCCCAGCAGCAGCAGCCACAGCAGCACCAGCCACAGGAGGGACAGCAGCAGTAGTAGACACCGCAGCAGTTCTAGTAGTGGGGGCCCCCGCTGCAGTGGGGTCCGCAGCAGCACTGGGGTCCCCCGCCGCAGTGGGGTCCGGGAGGCCCTGCGAGCACCGGTCGCAGCAGCAGCTCTTCCAGCTGGGCCCCTCGCCCCCCTCGCCGTGACGCTGGCCCTTGCGCCCACTGGTGCCTCACCGGGCCGGGAAGCCCCTGTCTCTGTGGTCGCGGCGACCACTCTGCCGCGCGGTGCTTCCGCCGCCTCGACGACCTCTACCGGGCTCGCTGGGGCCCCCTGGCGGTCACGCCTCGCTGGTCTCGTCTGTTAACCCGTAAGATTGATGTCTTTGATTTGTCCATGGATGATGCGCGCCAGCATGCTTTGTATGTTGATGCTGACTTTAGTGCTGAGGGATCTGTGTGCTCGCGTGTTCGTAGTTTAGCCTGCTTGCCTCCTACTAGTGTAGCCTTGTGCCTGTCTAGCTTAGGTGCTTGTGTTGCTGCTCTAGGTGCTTGTGTAGCGACTGGGTCAAGTGACCCTCCGGATGAGGCCTCTCTGTCGTTCACGCTGGACTCGGGCGTGTCTCAGTGCTTCTTCTGCGACCACACGATCCTTACGCCACTCCTCACTCCTGTGTCAGTGGCTCTGGCTGATCCTACCTCTGGACCAGCCGTTGCGCGTAGCTCCACCACCCTCGCGTGCCTTGTGGTCCCCTCTGGTGTCCTACGTGGCCTCCACATCCCCTCGTTCACTCGGAACTTGGTGGGTGTTGGATACCTCCAGGACAGGGGGATTACGGTTACCTTTGTGGGGGGTGGGCGGACTGCAGTCTGTACAGACGCTACCACAGGTGCTATTCTAGCCACGTTCACCAGGGAGCCCCGCTCCGATCTCTACGTTCTCCACACCGAGCGCTCCGCGGTCGTGTCCTCCCCTCAGGTCGTTGCGTCCCCTCCGGCCCAGGCCCCCAGTCCAGTTGCGGTGTCTAGCCAGGTAGTCGTGTCCGGTCCGGTCGCTGTGTCCAGTCCAGTCGCTGCGTCTTGCTCCTGTCGCTCTCTAGCCCACCGCACCGTCCTGTGGCACCACCGCCTTGGCCACCCGTCGATCCCTCGCCTTCGTGGCATGCTCAGTCAGGGACTTGTCACAGATCTCCCATGCACCTTCCCGTCGCTCCCTCCCTCGCTTGCCCCTCCTTGCTCTCCGTGCATCGCCGGTCGCTTACGCGCCACTCCCCACTCCTCCTCCCTTCGTCCAGCCACCGCTCCCTTCGAGAATCTCCACTTGGACGTCTGGGGCCTTGCCCCGACGCAGGGGTCTGGGAGGGAGCGTTACTTTCTGGTGGTCGTCGACGACTTCTCTAGGTACACCACAGTGTTCCTTCTTACGACGAGGTCCGAGGTGACTGCTACGTTGATCAGGTGGCTTCTAGCCACTGAGGGCACTCGTGGTTGTCGAGTCAGTTGTCTCCACTCCGACCGTGGGGGCGAGTTTTGCTCCGGCATTCTCGGCGGATTCTGTGGCGAACAGGGCATCACACAGTCCTGGACGCTGCCAGAGTCCCCACAGCAGAATGGGGTTGCTGAGCGCCGCATAGGCCTGGTCATGGACATTGCCTGCACGTCCATGATCCATGCCCATGCGCCCCATTTTCTGTGGCCCCACGCGGTTCGCTACGCCGCACACCAGCTGAACCTCCAGCCGCGTGTCTCGCTGCCTGAGGCTTCACCGACTAGTCTTTGGACTGGTTCCCCTGGTGTTGGGTCGGCCTTTCGAGTCTGGGGCTGCCTTGCGCTTGTTCGCGACACCTCCGCGGACAAGCTCTCGGCACGCGCCGTCCCCTGTGTCTTCCTTGGTTTCCCAGTGGACTCTGCCGACTAGTCCTTTTACCACCCGCCCCTCCATCTGTTCCTAGACTCCCGTGACGTCCGGTTTGACGAGTCTGTGTCCTACTACACCCGGTACCCCTGTCGAGGTCTCCCGGTACCCCCTACCCCTTTTTCCTGGCACC